CATTTCAAAATAAAATGCAAAAAAAAATATAAAAGGTCAAAGGGCATCCCGCAATTACTAAAATAGGAATGAAAATCCCAAAAATGGGATTTTTTACTTTTTTGCCCATAGGTCCACATTTCTTTCAGGGCTGGGAAAATACTTTTGGAGTAAATAGAAAACATATTGAGGTTTTCCAAAACTGCTTTCAGTTTTCTGATCCCAGCTTTAGGATTTTAGAACATGTCGCCCAAAGTTGAAGTTTTGATAAAAAATAGGTCATATTCGGAAGGACGCAGTGGCAACATTTTCAAAAAATAGGACAAGTGTTTTACGCCAAAGCGTTCTGCGTAAAGATACCTTTTAGAAAACTATAAAATTGTTATATGTTCTTAAAGAACATTTTATTTTATTAATAAAAGAGTTAAGACACATTTTTGAAAAACTAAAACTAAAATTTTTTGAATTTTTAAATTAAAAAAAGTATATTTTTGGATCTGTAAATGATATTGATCTGATTGATTGATTTTTTTATATTATTGGAAATTTTGTTGTCTAACTAACAAGAAAAAATTGGTCCAATTTGGTCCAAAATTACGCCCGGTATTCAAAAAAAGGCGGACCAAGGTATGGTAAATTTTGTATCACTAAATTTTTAAATGCCTATAACTCGGATATTATAAGAGATAAGTAGTATGTAGTAGTATGGCACGAGTTTAAAAATTGTACATGTCGTACAGCGCCGTCCCTGGGGCATCTGCAGGGTTCATCTTCAAAACTTAAACTCGAATACTCCTTGGCTACGCTCACGCCAAATTTTATCCCGATCGGATCAGCCGTTTAGAAATGCCAGATTTATTTCCAAAAAAATTCCATTCTGCCCCACTGTGCATCATTATACGGACTGAATTCCGCTGTAAACAGAAAGTTCAATATTCCAAGTAAAACTATCAACTCGAAAAGTTTTTGAAAAGAAAAACTCCATCAAAAATTCTTGGAATTATCTACATAATTACTAAATATAACTACTGATTGCAAAGGAATCTCAAATTGCCAACCGGTCGAAATCTACTCATTCCAATTGCCGATAAGAAGTCGAATTCCAGGAAGGATTAAAATTTATTACAAACTAGAAGTTTACAAATAGAAATTGTGTTTAAATATTCCATGGTAAATTGGGCCATAGAAATTATAATATTCGTGCACACAGATAAATCTGCTACACAGGAATGTAGCTTTCCAATTAATATTAATTTCCATTAATATCTCAGTAAGCTATTTCCCTCAGGAACCTGGTATTTCGACGAAGATATCCACTTTACAGCACATAACTCATCGAAAGTTCCAGGCCCTACGTTGGGCGCCATTTTATGTAATGGACGACTGGCTTGATCAAACGTACAGAGTCGGGAGTTTGTTAAACTTCGACAATATCCTTTAAATTTCACAAATTCCATTTGCACCAGTAAGGGTCGGCGGGACCCGTCTATTCCGTCCTGGCTTCAGTGGGTGGGGAGGTTCTTGACGCCTAACACGTCCAACGTCCCGTCGCCTTAATTTATTACAGAGTCCCTGGTAAAGTGGTTGCTAACAATATGGATATGGACTGGTATACTAATCTATTGAATCCCACAGAAATCTTATAAATATTTACTAAAATACCGGAAACTTTGAAATTTATCTGTTGGAAGGAGGTTTTTAAAGTGGTTTTATCCTAGGGATGATGATATTCCCGTTGGGTTCTTAACCCACCTCAACCGTTGTCCTTTCTGTACCCAAAAATTAATAAAAAGGACCCTATTATAGTTTTCTTCTCAACCGAAAGGAAAAGTCAGAAAATCTTTCTATTCACACACATTTTAATAATGTTAATTATTCCTAAATTCAGGTATTAACCATACTAAGATAAAAATTGATTTTACAATTTAGAAAAAAGGTTTTTTAGAAATTCGTTTTCTAAAAAAATTTGACAATGATTCGACTAAAATGTATGTAATTCTTTTCTGTTAAAACAAAGGTCTATATAAAACATTATTTGAATAACAATTTAAATTTTTAACAAACATGCAATTAATCTATTCAAATTTGTAACAAAATTGATTTTATTTAATTAACTAGTTTCAACTTGCACAGTTTAAAAGTAAATATGACAAACGCGATAACAAATCTAAATATTCAAGAACGGAGTATAGGATGAAAAAATCAAATAAACAAATCGAAGAGAGTTAATTGTCATACGTTTGCATTTACAAATTCATTAAAAGCTTTATCGAAAGCTTTCTTTTGATATTGATCTCGTCTCTGCGAATGAGAGAGATTGAGCTGGGGAAAATTTTGTAGAGCTGGGAAAATTTTGAATTTTGTTTTTATTTATTTCTTTTTTTTTATACCCACCATCAAAAAAGATGGGGGGTATATTGGATTTTGTTCATTTCCGTTCGTAAACACATCGAAATATTGATCATAGACCCACAAAGTATATATATTCTGGGTCCTCATGTAAATTCTAAGACGATCTAGCCATGTCTGTCCGTCCGTCCGTCTGTCTGTCTGTTGAAAGCACGATAGAGTCCGAATGGAAAGAGCTAGAGGGTTGAAATTTCACATAAATATTTCTTATAGGTAAGGTTTGTTTGGTATTAGAAATGGGGCAATATCGGTCCACGTTTTCGGATAGCCCCCATACAAGTAGCCCCTCGAAAAGCAGCTTTAACAGCCATAACTTGTTTAAAAATACGAATATAGCGATGAAATTCGACATAAGTAAGTTTCTTATGATCCAAAATCACTATGCAAAATTTTATGAGGATCGGTCCACAATTTACCCTACCCCCCATATAAGGTCCCCTTCAGAAAATGACTTTAACGCTCATTACTGGCTTAAAATACTAGTATATAGATGAAATTTGACATAAGTAAGTTTCATACGAGTCAAAATCTATCTAAAAAATGTTATGAGGATCGGTCCATGATTGACCGTACCCCCCATATAAGGTCTCCTTCAGAAAATGACTGCAACGCTCATTAATGGTTTAAAAATACGAGTGTAGCGATGAAATTCGACACAAGTAAATTTAATACGAACCAAATTCTGTCTACCAAATTTTATGAGGATCGACCCATAATTGACCCTACCCCCCTGTTCATTTTAGAAATTAATTTGAAACCCTATTTTCTATTCCCTTTATACTACGTTAGGATTTATCTAACTACTTCTTTTTTCATCTTTGAAAAAGTGTAGAGATAAATTCTAACTAGTAAAACCGCTAACGGTATAAAGTAATTCGCAACTAGTTGCATAGTTTTTTTTTTTTTGTTTTTTTAAAACACTTGTTAAGTGAACGCCATTACAACCACTTGGTTTAGTGCGCAACCCCTTTTGAGAATCTTTAAGGTAAATATAAATTTAATAAATAAACTTTTTTTATTGAAAAAAAACTTAACTTTCTTGTCTTTTTATTTCTTTTTTTGCACACACAAAAACATTTGGTCCGATCGAGCCGGATTTTTGAAGCCGGATTATTTGAAGCACTCAAATTAATTTTCTTGTGTATTTGGTTTCTTTAAGATCGCCATCTTTTCTTCGAAAGAAAAAACCACCACCATTTCATCCACCAACATTAATAAAAAATTTGGATTTATAAGGTGCGTAATCTTTGAATTTGAGTGATTTTATTACAAAGAAATTTAAAGTGCATATAAAAGAATAAATATAAAAGAAAGACAAAAGAACAAGTCTTGTTTATTAAATTTATATTCACACATACACAGAAAGCTTTCTTGTGTATTATTGTGATTGATTGCTTTGCCAACTGCCTTTTTTTGTTTGACATTAGTGACTACCTTTTTGTCAGTGCTTAATATATCTACCGTGCATTTGTTTACATAAACGGACAGACATAGTGAAGATAAAATAAAATTAAAAGAAAATTTTTAAGAAAGTGCGAAAAATAAATTTAATAAAATCGGGTGTGAAAAAATATTAATTAAATAATAAAAATAAAATATAACAATAAATATAATAACAAATAAAACAAAGAAGAAGTGAAATAAATAGAGAATTTTATGTTTATGTACCTTGTACATAATCTTTATATACATACATACAATTATCTGCTTCTTCTTCCGTTTTGAGTTGTTACCCTACGGTCGGTCGGTTTGACTAATATTAAATTTGGTTATTATTTAAATATTTTTTCACAGTTTTTAATAAAATTTGTATCAAATTTGCAATTTTATTAAATTATTTGTTTCCTTTGTGCAATTTAAATACGTTACGTAATAATAAATCGTGATAAATTGAAGTCTTTTAAATAAAGATAAAATTAAATTGAATTAAATTATTAAATTTATTTTATTTAATCGCATTTATATTAAAATAACTATGTCTGTGCCTGCTCTTGCTCTCTTTATTAGAGCTTCTGATGCTCTCATAAGCTTTGAAGCTAATATGAACAGTCTTAGGGAAGAAAGACTCACTGTTTTTAGCTTAGAGGTTCATTCCGATGAATTGAAGGTTTTAATGAACGAGGTTAAGTCAACCTATCAGACATATCTAGACTATTTAGCTACTTCGGACACAACAGAACCTGCTGATATAGATGTCGTATCATCAAAGTATCAGGCGACTTATAATGCATTCGTTAACTGTTTATCGAATATTAAAGAACAATTGCACACCTATGTCCAAACTCAAAAGACTAGTGATTCTCCAGTAGTTAGCCAGAACAATACTGAAACTCACCATAGTTTAGTAGTACCGCCCTGCGATGTTGAGACCTTTGACGGAGATTATCTCTCTTGGCCCGCTTTAGGGATCTATTTACTGTGTTATACGTAAATAATACTCGTCTCACCAACATAGAAAGGATGTGTCATCTTATACGTAAGACTAGTGGTGATGCAAAGGAAATAGTAGCTAAATATCCTATTTCGCATTTAGGATTTGACATGGCGTGGAATAGCCTTAGGGCTGCTTACGAAAATCCACGTATGTTGGTTAACAACCAACTTAAATCTCTTTTTAATCTTCCTATTATTGAAAAGGAAACTTCTGAAGGTCTCAAGACCATACAAAGAGGTATAAACAGTTGTCTTTCGGCCTTATCAATATATAATGTTTCGACGGAAAATTGGGATCCGATAATTGTTTTCCTTTGTGTTCAACGACTACCCGATAACTCTGTTACCTTATGGGAACAAAGTATAAAAGACAAATTCGTATTGTCTGTTTGGAAAGATCTGGATGCATTTCTGACAGAAAGAATTCAGACCTTAGAATGTCTACGTGACATTAGGGAAGTCCCACAATCTAAAAAATTATCGACTCCAAAGGTGAAGGCGCACCATGCCACTTCATCTTCTTCCCTTTCTTGCATTTTATGCAAGAATCAAAGCCATTTTCTGCGGGATTGTAAGAGATTTAAAAAACTTTCGGTAATGGACAGATTCTCGACTATTAAGAAACATCACTATTGCATTAATTGTTTGTCACGAAATCATGAAGTGAAAGATTGTAAGAGTCTGCATTGTTGTTCTATTTGTAAAAAGAAGCACAATACTATGTTACATAGAAATGTGCCTACTTCAGAGGATTCAAATGGAAGTTCTAGAACTTCTAATTCGGGTCCGAGCACAAGTGCTATATCACAAGCTGCTCTATCTATACCCACAGATTCTTCTCAAGTAGCAACATCTAACAGCTCTAACACCTCAGCTCCTATTAATAGACAGGCGTTTTATACTTCGCAAAACCAAACCGTATTGTTAGGAACAGCGATGGTGAATATTCATCACCAGGGTATGACGTACCCAGCTCGTGCTCTCATTGACCCTGCTTCGGAATCATCGTTTATTTCCGAAAGAGTACAGAATCGTTTAAGAATTTTGACGCAATCGACGAATGCTCAAATATCTGGTATCAACCAGGCGAATTCTGTAATATCAAGGAAATCGTGTTCCATTTATATTGGCACGCCCTTGGACTCTTCAATTGTTTTGAGTACAGTAGCTCTCGTTTTGCCAACGATCTCTGGTGATTTACCCTCATTTGTTATATCGAATGAGTATCGAAATGATTTGCCAAATATACGTTTGGCAGATACTAACTTATTTGATTCTAAACCAGTAGATCTACTCTTAGGGGCAGATTTATATCCACGAATTATAATGGGTTCAGTTAGAAAGGTTTTAGGGACATTAGTGGCTCAGAAAACTATTTTCGGCTGGATTATTACTGGTCCAGTTCCTCAGTCTTCAATTCAGGTATACAGCACTAGAGTTGAATTTTCTGAAGAAGATAATATAAATAGTACCTTACTTAGATTTTGGGAAATAGAGGAACCTCCTAAACGGAAACTTATGTCAGCACATGATCGTATGTGTGAGGACAATTATAAGAAAACTACTCGTAGGGATTCTACTGGTAGATATGTGGTAACATTACCATTTAAACCTGAATTTCCCGAGACGTTAACTTTAGGTCAGTCTAAACAGAATGTTAGGGCGCAATTTATACGGACAGAATCCTCTCTCTTGAGAAATCCTGTCATCAAGAATATGTATGATGACGTCGTTAAGGAATATTTAACTTTAGACCATATGCGTCCAGTTAAAGACTCTCCTTCATCTTCTTGCTACCTGCCTCATCATCCAGTTATAAAATTGGACAGAAAGACCACAAAATTACGTGTGGTTTTCAATGCGTCGAATAAAACGTCTAACGGCAACAGTCTTAACGATTGTTTATTTGTGGGACCCACATTACAGGCAGATCTCGTTCTCCTGATTTTACGTTGGCGCTTTTTTAGGTTTGTGTTTAATTGTGATATAACACAAATGTATAGGCAGATTAGACTTGATAGTTCTCATACTCCATTTCAACGAATTTTGTTTCGTGATTCTCCGACGGAGGAAATTCAAGAGTATGAGTTACAGACTGTAACCTTCGGTGTTAATTGTGCACCTTATCTTGCCATTCGTACCTTGGTACAATTGGCTGAAGATTCCGAAGCTGAGTACCCTCTAGCGGCGAAAATACTTCGGAAATGTATGTACGTCGATGACGTATTAACTGGGACTCACGAGATCTCAACCGCTTTGATCGCTCGCGATCAACTTATAGCGGCTTTAACATCAGCGGGTTTTGTTCTTAGGAAATGGACTTCGAATGAGAAAGCCATCCTATCTGGTATACCCGTTGAGCATTTAGTAGATGCCAAACTATTGACATTTATTGAGTCAAGTAGCTCAAAAACTCTTGGGTTACGGTGGAATGCTCAGTCGGACTCTTTTTATTTTAATGTGGATCGTATTTCGATGCGATCAAGTCACACGAAAAGGGAGGTACTATCTATAATAGCTAGATTATTTGACCCTGTTGGATGGTTAGGACCAGTCATTATTGTCGCTAAGATGAAGGTTTGGCAGGACCAGATAGATTGGGACGCAGCTCTTAAGCCCGCTACTGAAGCCGAATGGCAAAAATTTGCTGCTTCATATCATGAAGTAAACGACATCCAGATTCCTAGATGGGTTAATTATATACCTAATTCTACAGTGGAGCTTCACGTCTTTTCAGATGCATCTGAAAAAGCTTATGCAGGGGTAATTTACGCTAGAGTCGAAAGACCTAATGGCGAAATTTATACCCATCTGTTAACTGCTAAAACGAAAGTAGCTCCCATCAAATCAATTTCTCTACCACGACTTGAACTCTGTGGTGCACTTCTTGCGACGGATCTGTTAAAATCCGTATTATTCGAAATTGACATCCCATTATGTCAAATATATTGTTGGACTGATTCTACAATCGTCCTTGCTTGGCTGAAAAAGGACCCTTGTTCATGGGCAACCTTTGTAGCCAACAGAGTTTGTAAAATTCAGGAAGTGGTCGGAAGACATAATTGGCACCATGTCAAATCTGACGACAACCCAGCAGACTTGGCAAGTCGGGGTATTTCACCCTCTGATTTGATACAGAACAATCTATGGTGGCATGGTCCAAATTGGCTTCGGGAAAAAAGCACTACCTGGAATCTAGGAAATTTGGCTTTATTAGATACGGACTTAGAGGCTCGTGCAGTAAAATCGCATGCTTCATTTTTTTCGAATTATGAAGACATTCTTGAGAGATTTTCTTCTCTTGATAGGGCAATTCGAGTGTTAGCCTATGTATTTAGATTTTTCTATAATACTCACTCGGCTCATAAAAATCAAAATTCCTTTGAGTCTACCATCGTGACAAACATTGAGGTTAAGAAAGTAAAACTACGATTGGCCATTTTGGCTCAAAAGGTAAATTTTGTCGAAGAATACCAATGTCTTTTGGATAAAAGACCACTATCTTCGAAAAGTCCTTTATTGACTTTGAATCCATTTCTGGATAATGAGGGTGTTATGAGACTTAATGCTCGTTTGACAAAATCACCTTCATTAGTCTATACCGAACGGCATCCCATATTGTTGCCATATTCTTGTCGCTTTACCCGTCTTTTGATTGAGTTCGTACATACGATTTCTATCCACGGTGGAAATCAGTTAATGCTCAGGATCTTAAGGATCGAATATTGGGTACCTCGACTAAAAACACTAGTTCGAGCTGTTATTAATCGGTGCAAACGGTGTATTCTTGACCGTAAGCGCACCTGTACCCAAATAATGGCAGCATTACCCCCCGAACGAACTCAGATAGGCCGACCGTTTACGACAACTGGAGTCGACTTTGCTGGGCCTTTTGACATAAGAAACTTAAATAGTAAATCGTGTCAAACTTTAAAGGCCTACGTTTGTATTTTTGTCTGTTTTGCGACTAAGGCCATCCATTTAGAAGTTACTTCAGATTTATCAACTGATAGATTCTTGGCCGCTTTTAATCGATTTATATCGAGACGAGGTTGTCCCACTACTATGTTCTCCGACAACGGAACGAACTTTGTGGGAGCTTCGCGTGAACTGGAAAGGGATTTTAGAACATTTTTGTCAGAAAGTCGTGCTCGGATGTGTTCCACTTACGGTATTAATGGACTAACTTGGCGATTTATTCCAGCAGGCGCTCCTCATATGGGAGGCCTATGGGAAGCGGGAGTTCGAAGTTTTAAACTTCATTTCCGTAAAGAAGCTAAGTCCGTGAAATATACCTTTGAGGAACTATCGACGGTTCTCGCAAGAATTGAGGCTTGTCTTAATTCGAGACCGTTGTGTCCAATGAGTGATGATCCGAATGAGCCAGTAGCTCTTACTCCTGGTCATTTTTTGATCGGATCACCAATACTAGCTCCACCGGAGCCTTCTATATATGAATCCCCAATCAGTCTCATAAATAGATATATGAAAGTCAAAGCGCTATCCCATCACTTCTGTCGACGATGGAAGGAAGAATATCTATCAAATCTTCATAAAAGATATAAATGGAAATACCCTGAACGAGACTTATCTGTAGGTGACTTAGTAGTTATAAAAAATGAACAAATGTCTCCGACTTCCTGGAAACTAGGTAGAGTTGTTAAAACTTATCCGGGAAGTGATGAACATGTTCGCGTCGCTGACATACGAACAGAAAATGGCATAATAAAGCGACCAATCACAAAATTAGTCGTTTTGACTAATGAAACATTATAAAATTAAAAATATTAAATAACTTTCCTTGTTCCTAGTACCATGGACGCTTTAACCATTGCGATGGAAGATGCTCTCTTGGAGTCGGACAAGGAAGTGATGGAGGTAGAGGACCAGGGATCTAAGGATACTCCAGTGCCGGATCCAGTACCTGTTTCAATAACTGGTCCAGTAACTGCTCCAGTAACTGCTCCAGTAACTGCTCCAGTAACTGCTCCAGTAACTGCTCCAGTACCTGCTCCAGTACCTGCTCCAATACCATCTCCAGCCCCTACTCCAACACTTGCTGTGGCATCTGCTTCGGTACCTGCTTCAGCACCAGAGTTGCTTACATTAAAGGTCGCTTCGGTTGAGAAGTCTTCTGAATCTACCGATCCAGACCCGGCAGCAGCTCCCACAACCGCAAAGGCGTCAAATGTGGAATCCTCGGGCTCGAATGTGTGTAAGCAATGTAAAGGAAGACACCCGCTGTATAGGTGCGCTAGTTTCCGAAAGTTGTCTCACGAAAAGAAGCTCAGATTTGTCGTTCTACATCGACATTGCTACCGTTGTTTATCAACAAAACACCTGGCTAATGAGTGCAAGTCGTTGGTGAAGTGCAACATATGCCACGACAATCACCACTCTCTTTTGCACTCACCAGGAAAAGGTCAAAAGAAGAAAGACGCGAAACCTAAACCCCATACTTCAGCGCAGTCAAAAGCGAAATCGATTCCCTATCCCGTCCAGGCTTCTAATGTGCCATTAAGACATGCTATTAACCTGTCTCCGACCTTAAGGTCCGAGCGGTTTTAGACTTGTGTTGTCCGATGTCTTATGTTTGTGAGTCCCTAGTCCAGCAGCTTAGGCTGCCTGTCTCGTCTGCGAACGGCGTTAATATATGTCGTTTGACTATCGGCTCAATATACGCGCCTCACCCTCAACTAACGTTGTCTGCAACAGTAAGGAAAATGGTCGGTATTCGTACTCCACCGGAAAATATTTCCAACGACATTTTAACTTTATTTGACGGGATTCAGTTAGCTGATCCCACATTTAATCAGTCGGGACAGGTCGCGTTGGTTTTAGGGCCAGAACTAAGTGCTTCCATTATTAAAGGAAAAATCCATTCTAGCCCGGGTCTTCCACTTGCCCAATACACGTTATTTGGATGGGTCATTTCCGGCCAATCCCCTTATTAAGAAACTCTTGAAACTCCCCTTGTTGCTTAACTCTATCCTAAAACGAGTGTAACATAAGAAATAAAATAAATAAATAAAACAAACAGCTGAATTACTGCACTAAAATAGGACAAACAAGAAATTAAGCAAAGTTATTTAAGAAATAATAGCAAAAAGGCAAATGAAAAATAAAAACAACTAAAGTGAGACAACAGATAAGAAATATGAAAAGTTAATATGTGCATGATCAAATAAGCAGCTGAATTAGTGTATTGAAAAGTGATGCCTAAAGCAAAGTCGAGAAAAGAAGAATAAAATAAAGCACGCTGAAAAAGAAATTTTCTAAAAAACAAATCAGTTGAAACAACGAGGATAACATAAGAAATAAAAACACAAAGAAATAAACATACAGCTGAATTACTGCACTAAAGTGAAATAAATGAATACAGCAGAGGAAAAAAAAATAAAGCTGAATAACTAATAATGAAACAAACATATAAAGGAATAGAAAAAGCCATATCGCACAGCTGAATTAATACTTATGTATCCAAATGAAATAAAAAAGAGAAAATGAAATAAAGTGAACTGAACTACTTAAATAAAATTAAAACACGGTAAAAAAAATAAACAAGCTGGCCGGTTAAAAATTTTAAAAATTTTTTGTTACTTAAGAATACATAATTAAAAATATACATATATATTAATAAAAATGCCACCCAAAGTTGCTATATCAAATGCCAATTGTACAAAGTGTAAAAATCCTCTTAAGCGAACTGATGAGGTTATTAAATGTAGTTTTTGTAAAAAAAGTCTACATATGAATTGTGCAATTGAAAATTCACCTGGTTTAAATCCTGATGCAGCCAAATATGTAAGTAATAACAGTGAAGATATACTATACAAATGCATGTTGTGTAAATCTAAAAAAGAAATAAACCTAAGTGATATTGCTGAAAAGCTCTGCGATATGGAGGCACGTATTCAAGACATTCCGGTGCAAATATCTGCAGAAATGTCCACTAAATTAGATGACATTTCCAACAAACTTAACAGCTGTGTGGAAAAAGTTAACACACTAGAAAAAGAATCCTCTGAAAAATTTAAGCAATTGGAAATGGAGAACAACTCTCTACGTAAACAAATAAACAGGGCGGACATAATTGTTAATGGAATACCAACAAAAATAAAATCCAAAAATTTAATTAATGTAATCATGGGCATCTGTAAACACTATAATATCGAATTAAAGGACACGGAAATTAACACTATTTGTTGGATTCATAATAAAAAAGCTGTATTAATTAAATTCAACAACATAGCCAAAAGAGACATTGTTATGCGAAAATATCAAGAGAAATATGATTTAAAACTAAATCAAATTCGTGGAATATTTAAAGATATTGACGATAACAAGGATGAAAACTCAGTCGAAACCACGGAACATGAAGATTGTGACATTGAGGCAAGGGTGTTCCTGAACGATAATTTAACTGCAGCGGCATCAAAACTAAAATATCTTGGCAGAAAGCTCATACGAGAGAAAAAAATAGAAAGATTTAAACTACTAAACTATGATTACCCAAAAGGAAAAATTACATTTAAAAATGGATCTGAGAAGATTCTAACGTTAGAAGAATGTGGAGCCTTATTAAATTAAATTGTACATTTATATATTAATTGATTATTTACATTTCATAATATGTTTAACATTTTTCTTATACATATTTTTCTCGATTTCTTTATATTATTTTACTTACATGTTCCTTACCATATTTTTATCTAAAATTGTATTCTACCTTTTTGTGATTAATACTATTTTTTTTTTTCAATTATATCTTTATCTAAAATTGTATTCTACTTTTTGTGATTAATACTATTTTTTCTCAATTACATTCTATTATTACTCGTTAATTCATTATTTTATACTGTTGTTTTCCTTATATTCTACACGGTGTTAATAATTTTTATTCTCAAACTATAAACACACATAAAATTTAATCAATATTATAAATTGTCATAATTTTTATTATTACCATTATAAATATATTTGTTTCTTTCTTTAAATTTCTTTTATTTTTTTTCTTTTTCTTTTGATATATATATATTTTTTATTTTTAAACATACAAAAAGACTAAAACTTGTTTAATTATAACTATAAAAATAATGATTTATATTATTGAAATAAAATATGTAAAAATGATAAAATATCAAAAAATGTGAAATAAAAGTTAATTTAAAGATGAATTTTTCAATTATTTTTCTTATACAAGATATACAACAAAATAAATAATAAAAATCCATAGAACATTGTATAAACCAAAGAAAATAACTACTTAATATTGCACTCTGAAATATAAAAATATGCTGAATTAGTTTTTTTTACGGATTACGATGTTTATTTAAAATAATAAATGTCAGTATTTCAAATTTATAGTATAATATTAGTTAGAAATATTAATTACTTTTTAAGTAATGTTCTTTTTGCACGAATATGTATTTTCTTTTACATTGAATTCATATGATAATAATATAGGTCCTGTAGCCAGTGATAATACAATATTAAGAAATAAATTAATTAAAGGTAATCTTAATATCGGTCATTTCAATGCGCAAAGCATTTCCCCATCTAGAAATTCAGCAAAAATAGAAGAAGTAAGGCAGATTTTGCAAGGATGCTACTTAGATGTAGTTGGAATTAGTGAGACGTGGTTCAGAGAAAGTTTACCGGATATGGCAGTAAGTATTGATGGATATAAATTATATCGGAATGATAGAATTATCAGAAAGGGTGGCGGAGTATGTATATACATTTCTAGCAAACTTAAGTCAAGGGTTATACATAAAGTCATGGATGAAGGTATCTGTGAAGCACTTATTATTGAAATCGAAATTAATATAACTACGAGGATACTTGTAGGAGTTATTTATCTACCTCATGGTAGATTTGCATTATGCGAAAATCTTATTGATGATTTGTCGGCTCAGTATGGATATAGTGTATTTATGGGAGACTTTAATACAAATATATTTGAAAATAGTGCATTGGTAAGAAATTTTTGTAATGATCACAACCTACACTTAGTTCATAACAGTTTGCCAACTCATTTTGATAGTCACTATCATGTTACCAAACTTATAGACTTTTTCTTAATATCTGACATTAATATTCTTGAAGTTTCAGGACAGTTTCAAATTCCGGGTCTAAATTCTCACCATGCTCTAATTTACATATCGATATCTCTTAAAATGAATTACTCCCCTGATTACATATTTCATAGAGATTATGCGCACATTAATTTGACTAACTGTGAAAGAGATATACAATATATAAATTGGGATGGTATTTACGGAACTTCTGATACTAATAGTCAAGTAGATCAGTTTAATCACTTTATATTAAATTTATATAATGACCATATTCCTATAAAAAAAAAATATATACGTAGAAATGAAAACTGGTTTAATTGCAGGGAGATAAATGAGGCAAAGGAGTTAAGAAATTTAGCATTTAAAGCTTATAAGGAAAATATGAACAGCAATTGTTGGAAAATTTTTTGCAAGTACCGCAATAAACTGAAAATGACTATAAGGAAAATTAGAAAAAAAGCGGCCAAACAATTTTTTAGTGCTGAAGTACCAGGTGGAATTTGGGATAAACTGAAATCTACGGGTATTATAGCTAAGGGAAATTGTGAAAATTTTCAAGATTTAGACATTTTAAATAATAGTTTTATAGTACCGGAAGGTGATTCTATTAGAGATACATTTATTTATGACAATAGAATGAACAATGGTTTTGATTTTGGAAGGTTTGATGAAAATGATGTTATTCACGCTGTATCTTATATTAAATCAAAATCCATTGGTCCGGATGGTATATGCATTAGATTTCTACGTATTATCCTACCTTATATTATTAAACCTCTCACACATATTTACAATACAATTTTGATGACTAATGCATATCCAAATAATTGGAAACTAGCTAGAATAGTTCCAATTCCCAAGATAAGAAATCCTAGGCATCTCACGGACTTTAGACCTATAAGTATCCTCCCAATCTGTAGTAAAATAATGGAAGTAATGATGAATAAACTAATTGTAAATTACCTGGACCAAAATATTCTAATATCGCCGCGTCAGTCGGGATTTAGAGCTGGTCATAGCACAACCACACTAGTCTTAGATGTTACTGAGAAAATTAGAAAAAGCATAGATCAAAATCATGGATCTGTTGTTGTTTTTCTAGATTTTAGGAAAGCTTTTGATTCCATTAATCATGTATTGTTATTGCGAAAGTTACGCAATCAATTTAAGTTCTCTAATTCAGTTTGTAAATTGATACAATCATTTCTGTGTGATAGGTATCAATTTGTGAAAGTTGATAACAGATCATCAGGATATGCCAGGATTTATCACGGTGTACCTCAAGGCTCCATTATGGCTCCGTTACTGTTTATGATGTTTATAAATGATCTTCATAGCTCAATTTCTTTCTGTAATGCACAAAATTATGCAGATGATATACAGCTGTTTGCTAGTACGAATGGGAATATATCCATATCTGATTTCATTAATTTATTTAACTATGATTTAAACCTTATCTCTATGTGGTCAGATGAAAATAAACTATCCCTAAATCCCTTGAAAACGTATGCAATGAGATTTGGTAATAGTACTAGATACTTACCACCGCTAAAATTAAATGGAGTAGATATTGAATATGTATCAAAATTTAAGTCCTTGGGTTTTCATCTTGATGATCAGTTATCATTTGAAAATCATATACATAATATTATTTCTAAAGTATCGATGACTCTTAAGAAAATAAATACACTTGGATATTTTTTTCCCTTTCAAATTAGGAAACTAATTGCTAAAACTCTGATAATGCCTATATTTATGTATGGTATGGAGATATACTCATCCACATCAGCAGGAAATATTATTAAATTGAGAAAATCCTTTAACAGAGTTATACGATTTGTCTATAAGTTAGATTTTAGAGCACATGTGTCAGCTGAAACTAGAGACTTTCTTGGGTTAGATTTTAGGGACTTTATAGATTTTAGATTAATTACTCTGTTTTACAAAATAAAAAAAAATGGAAGTCCTCAATATCTACAAGATCTTGTTTCTTTTTCTCATTCAACACGAACATCTGCAATAATATGTCCCAGAATCAATACTCTTTATATGCACCGGTCATTTTCTGCCAGAATATGTAGGCTATGGAATAATATTATTCCTTATGATGCTCGCAATTTTTCACAAAACTTACACAACTTTCAAGAACTATTTAAGAATCATGTATAATAAACATCATAAATTTGGCTACTATGGACTTTACATATTATTATTTTAAATCTTTATATACATATTCGTGCAATTAGAATTAGTTATAAGTTTAAATAAAAAAAAAATAATATATATTTATAAAATTTATTTACACCTACTCTATAAGACATCTATGTAATTTATAGGCCAAACAAGGCTTTTTTTTGATTACTAATGAATTCAATAAAAAAAAAAAAAAAAAAAAAAAAAAAAGACAGATAGAAAGACAGATAGAAAGACAGATAGAAAGACAGATAGAAAGACAGATAGAAAGACAGGGATAGATAGATAGATAGATAGATAGATAGATAGATAGATAGATAGATAGATAGATAGATAGATAGATAGATAGATAGATAGATAGATAGATAGATAGATAGATAGATAGATAGATAGATAGATATAGATAGATAGATAGATAGATAGATAGATAGATTAGCTCGCTCGCTCGCTCGCTCGCTCTCTCGCTCGCTAGCTCGCTCGCTCCCTCCCTCGCGCTCGCTCCCTCGCTCTCCTCGCTCGCTCCTCGCTCGC